TCAAAAATCAACAAATATTATTTTGCTGCCACAAATAAGCATATAGAAGAGCTTTGTGCAACTGAAAAAGCAAAATCATTATTTCCGTTTTTATGGCTATGTAAATCCATATAACCCGTGTTTAGAATCCTGCTCAGCCAAAAGCCTGTAGCATGGACTGTCTCAAGGGAAAGTCTTACTAAATGCAATTCGTCATTACGTCTTGTCAACGAAATATACTCGAATACATAAGCCGCGTTGACCTCTGGTTCCATTTTACGCTGTAGATAAGCTCTTCCTACTATGGTTGAGTTCTATCTACGTTGAACAGCACTCGTAAATTGGATTTTATATTAATGTTTGTTTTCAAGAGTAAATCATCTCGTTCCGAATTGTCGCGAGTATAATTTATCGTCATAACAAAAGTTGCATCATCTTCGTGAGTTGGCATCCGGGATTAATTTAGGAGTTCTTATGCGAAGGGAAAGTCCTGGGAATGCCATTTTATACACCATCCCGTGCCGTACTGTGCCGAATCTGAGAAAAAGAGGCTCGGCATTGGTACGACAAGTGGTACCTGTTGGTTTTATGCAGCCGTACTGCAGTCACGCGGTTCCATGACGAATCTTTACCAGCGCTTGCGCAACACACAGAGAACAACGAGTATATACGCGACAGTCACTTTGTGCACTCTATAAACATTCTTAAATCTTACAACTGAGTAATTTGTACATTTTCAAAACAAACCTGTGTTTCGGAGCGAACGGCGACAGGATCTTCGGCTTTCCTTGCTTTCATATTTATTCCTCTTCTTCTCGAGACAAATATTTCATTAAGAAAAAGGGCTTTCGTACTTAAATGGTGGTTGTCGGAGTCAACGATTTTGTATTATGCTGTATTAATGCAGTGATGTGCACATTAATGTAGTGATGTGATGTGTATTTGGTTTTATAAGTCGAACTTGGCCTTGTCGTACCGTACTGAGCGGGGAGCTCTAAGCGAATGGTTCTTCTTGGTTTTACAAGGTCGAGTCGTGCAAAATCAAGCAGAAATAGCTTGGGTCGGCGGCGCGGCACGACTCAACATATAAAATGGCTCTTATAGAGTCAGATTTCACGTTTATTATTCTATGATTTATGTTCATTAGGCCCATCGTATTTATTACATTACATAGACGCAGATTTCGCATCCCTGGAAACTGCTGACAGAGCCCCCGCAGATATTTTTTTCTATCTAACCTTTGTCTATCTATAACCCTTTATATAAGTAGTTTAGAGTATCAGTTGTGTAGTACGTGATATGCAGTAGGTGCTTGTGAAAGACCCCAGTATACATTTATATAACAATCTGGCTAATACAACAAAAGTTGCATTTTCTGCTGTATCCTGCTACCACCAAACTCACTGTATCCCGGAGACGGTCTACACACCCCCTGTTGGAGAGTGAAGAGGTAACGAGCAATTGTTTTTCCCAGTTCTTTATACGCAAATGATTAGGCATGATCTCTCTTAAACTTTCAACTCAGTAGGCGGGGTGCGATTTCCCTATTGATTGTAAAATTCCAAAATTCCTGAACAATATCATTTTTGTCAGGACTCATGGTATTGTTGAATTTGATCGCTTAAATTACCAAAATCAGGGGCACAAGTACTGGATGTACTGAATATGTCTTTCGTCTTCTAGAATGTAGCGAAGTTGTTTTGATCTAGAATCTAGATTTGATCTAGAGGAAGTTAGGGGTCTGGAGCACAGGCCAGAAGAACCATAGCCATAAAAAACGTAAGTGCCCCGGGTCAAAGCAAAGCTGGGGCCTCTAGGGGTGGATCCAGAAAAGTATCGCAAGACAAAGGGCGGTGCTCAAAGGCAAGGCCTGTTATTAAGGCCTAGCTTCAAGGTTAAATATCATATGCAACTAAAACATATTTATGTTTCCTGATGTAGCATTAGCAAAATAAATGCAGTAGACAACAGCCTGAACTGGAAAAGCGCAAACAGTTGCTGAACACCCTGTATGAGAAAGCAAGGCAAATGGTTGCGTTTCATTGTGTGGGCCATCTGCTTTACCGTCATAAGGATTTAAATTTGCATCAGCACAGTTATATTTCCAGAACTGTAGCATTAGCAATTTGAATATGAATGCAAATGACGATAGCCTAAAATGAAACAACGAACAGCTGCTGAGCACATTGTATCGAATAATTGCTGAACACCTTGGCTGGGTCATCTATTTTTGTCAAAAGAATTTGAATTTTCATACAAAGAGTTTGCTTTCTTGAACAGTATAAGATGTGAAATGTTTTCTTTTTGTGCAACTCGTTTGGATTTTGTACGAATCAGTTTTATTTTTGTGTTGTTCACATGTTTTTCTCTGTGCGCAATTTGATGGGAAAACCGCTGACGGTCGAGTGGCTGTAAGCCACTGTAACTTGTGTGAAATGCCTTTAATTTTTAACTTTATGTTGCTTTAGACTGCTATTGGTAAGATATTTTTCAGCATGGTGCTTTAAGGTTTGGGATATACAGTTTAAGGTTTAAGGTTTAAGGTTTTAAAAAACGAGTTGACTTTCGAAATAAATGAAAAATTATAAATGTTTACACTAACAGTAGAAGAATTGCTCAAGAATCACCATGTCAAAAGAAAGTGAACGGGGGAGAAGATACCTTCTATTTTCAACCTCAAAGTAGTCTTTATTTCATTCAATTGGAAAGTCGCCTGCGCGGCAACCTGATACTTGACACCCCCCTCTAAGAAATTCTTAAAGCACCGCCCCCTGCCCAAGATAATACACCAATTCGACTTACGACCTCGTTTTGGAAATTTCTCCAAACTTGATTATACGACTTTTTTAAGCTCAGATTTGGTTTTATCGTCACAATTTTAGGCGGGATACCATTTTTCATATTGTTTGTGCTTGTATTTTAGATTTTACGGAGAAATTAAGTTTGAAAACCTGTAAGGGATTTGACCGCAAAAATCGTTTAGGGGGGAAACTTTACCCCCCTAGTTGCCAATCACGGTCAAATCTTTTATAAAGTTTTTATCTTTATGTCGTCATAAAATCAATATCGTGAGCAATATCATAATGAAAACTTACAATTCCAAATCTGAGGTCAAAAATTTTGTACAAAAGAATTCGAAGAATTTTTCAAAATGAGGCCGTAAGTCGAATTGGTGTATTGACAGCCTCTACACTCCTGATTTTCTACCGTATAATATATGGCTGGTGGTTGGACTGGTGATGTTTTCATTGCCTCTTCTATCTTTCATTTGATTGTAAATAGTATGCTGAAATTACTTACCGTATTTCCTCTACTGAGTCCCTCCCTCTAATGAACGCCACCCTCTGTTAAGCGCCGCTCTCTATAGAATTCTGCATCCAAAATTTAGATTTTGTAATAAACGCCGCGGCGTTTTTTAGAGGAAATACGGCATGTGCATTTGATAATCAGCTAAAAAGAAATGTTTATTCATTAGAATACGTAGAGAAATCAGGAACCATGCACCGCTCAAAAGTGGAGGGGATGAAATAGGTGTGACCGAAGACTTTTTGAGGCCACGCCCCCTAGAACGCCGGAAACGCCCCATTTAGAAAATACTTGCTTATTTCTGCTTAATTTTTATAAACAGAGAAGATATCAATAGCTATAAAGCAGATCAAATTAGCTTGAGGGCAATAAAACACGAAGCTAACCAAGTTAGAAAAATACATACATAATGTCATTAAACAATATAAAACACATGAACATGAACAAGATGAACAAAAAAGGCTTCCAGTCAAGAAGAACTCCTATTACGTAGGTGTAAACTATTCAAAGTTGCGTTAGGATAAACTTTATTGCAAAAAGTTGGGGGGGGGGCTATATCTTCAATTCTATTCTAACATGTAACTTTTATCATTAATTTGCACCTGCATTAATTCATAGATGCCACTGATCAATCCATCACTACAATGCCCTCTCAATGTTCCCTTTAATTTTCAGTCCCTTCAATTTTCAATTTTCCAAAAATGACAGCTTCTCATTTGACATGTAAATGTTCAATGTAATCATTGATCAGTGGCATCTTCTAGCACTTTTCATTAATCTAGATCCATTAATCTATTATTTCTTGCACTCTGAGCATTATACCGATACTCGGTCCTGCTCAGTATCGATGTATAAGTAGAATAGCCCCTGCTAGCCTAATGGCTGCGCGGTGCCTGGGAGAAATGCGTGGTAATTACACTGATCTAAAAAAAACACTTTTATGAACTGAAGACTAATACGGTTCATAAAAAAGGCTTACTACAGCAAAACATTTGATTACATTGGTAATTTTGTTCCAGAAATAATCATAGATTACTGCATAAAGCTCTCAAAATAAATTCATTTTACTGCTAAATGTTCTAAACATATACGCAATTTTTGTAGCAAACATTTGAATTTGTAAAATATGTTTGAAGAACCTCCTGAAACAATCTAAATTACTGTTTCCACTCCAAAATTAATGTTATGAATTTTGCAGTTTGTTTTGCTTTAGTAAGATTCAGCTGCTAGCAACAACTTCCATTGCTTAGTCACATCATAGCATCTCAGTGATTGGTTCCTTTCCAAAACTTGAAAATGGAAAACCTTTATGGTTTTATAAACAGATTTTTATTTCATTTCAAAACAAGTGGTGAAGGCACATGTCTTTGTCAATCCACCAAGTCAAAGATGCACACAAGTTGCTCTACCTAGAAAATAAAAATATAAAAGTATTTTTCGTGTATCTATTAGCCTGCGCCTTTATAGATCTGATACACTACTCTATGAGGCAGTCCCACATTTCAATTTTTCCATGGGGAAACAAAGATTAGGCC